TAACCAAACCATAAAAATTTAAATCACTAATATTTAATTAATTTTAATATCTTATTTGTTATATAGATAGTTTATTATTTTTTAAACTTATTTTGAATTAAATGTTTATTTATAACATAATATAAAATGTATATAATTTGTTTTAGTTAATAAAAAATTAATTGCAAATGTCTCTTTTATTAGATTGTTAAGTGGTTGATGCATTTATTGTATTTTTCTTTTCAATTATTCAATAAGAAAAATCAAAATATTATAACAGAAGTAACAGTTTTTTAATAATGAGAATAAACAAAAATTAGGAAAATTTATATTAATAAACATGATCAGACAGTAAGAATTAAACTTTTTAAATTGCTTTACAAACTTCAAAATAGGTTAAATATTCTTTTTTATTATAAATTATATTAATCTAAAAAATATATTGCGCAGTTTATTTTTAGTAATTAAAATTCTATTTTGATAGAAAAAGAAATAAATGGGAATTTATATTGTTTAAATTTGAGAATCATTGAAATTTCTAACTAATAATAAATATAAAGCCTTTTCTCCTGTATATTTATATTTATAATTTCATTCCTAACAAACTTTTGCAATTAATTATCGATTATGATGATTTTCTTTTTCATAATTTCTTATAAACTTTATAGATAAATAATTATTTTAAAAAGATGCTTAAACTTTAATGTGCTAGTGGTCATGAATATTTAGTTGATATGTTTTGTACAAATCCATTTTGTAAAGAGAAAAGATTATATTGCTTTGAATAATGCCAAAAATTGTAATATAGGCATTCAGGTCATAGTTAAAATACTGAGAAAATTTAGGAGCTTTGTAATTATGTGAAAGGAATTTCATAATAATGCTATGAATTAGTAAATGATTTAGAAGTCTAATTTTTAAAAGTGGAGCAAATTTTCAAACAATTTAAAGATGACATTTTATCTAAATATTCTCTATCTCAAGGAGTACTAAAACAATTAAATTCAAATTAAATTAATGAAGCTTTATGCAATTTTGTTAGATTTAATGAAGAAAAATAAAAATTATCAACATAGTTTAAAGAAATAAGTAATTAATTTATATTAAGTTTGGAAAATTGTAGTGAAGAATTTGAAATATCTCAATAGGATTATTTCAAAAATTCTGAGGATAGTTTCAATTTAAATTCTAAACACTTTTCATATGTTTTAATGTAAGAAAACAGAATAAATCAATCAACTAGATGTTGTTCATTTACATTTAATAACGATTCATCTATTATAATAGTTGGATTGGAGAATGGTGATATTCAGATATATGAATTAATTAATGAATTGATGAAATAAAAGTAAATTTGCAAAATTCATTCAGATGCGGTATATTGCTTATAATTTATGAAAAAATCTAATCAATTTGTCTCTGGAAGTGGAGATACATCTATTATTATATGGTCACTCAATGATTAATTATAATGGTTTAATAGTTATAAATTATTAGGACATACTGGAATTATGTTGTGTTTAATTATAGATAGTAGTGAAAATGTGATTTTCTCAGGGAACAGTGATTCTCTGATTAAAATTTGGGATAAATAAAATAATAATTACTTATGTAAATAAACATTAAATGAAAACAAAGGAGATATATTATCAATAAGTTTGAATCCTGAACAGAACATATTGATTTCATGTGTGGAAGAATAAAATTATCTAATTGTGTATTAAAATAAACATAATTTATGGAATATTTATTAAAAAATAGAAATATAACTTTGGGGATATAGACTATGCTTTATAGACAACAAAAGTTTTACATTTTAATCTAATCTATCTAAATTTATGGAAATTTATGAAATAAATCAAGAAACTAAATTATTTACCTAAATAAATTAGGTTCCTGTAAAAACAAGTAGTTAATGCGATGCATTATTCCCATAGCAATATATTTAATAGAAATCTATTTTAATAAACAAGAATGGATAATTTATTAATTTATTCAGGATTATACCAAATATATCAATTCAAAGTTAGGAATCCATCAAATTTGGTAGTGAATACATATATGGAGCATTAGATAAAAATGCTGAATATTTAATAACATGGGATGATTATTCCTAACAGATATAATTACGAAAATACAAAGAAGAATAGATACTTATTTGAATAATCTATTTATTATATTCTAATATATTTTATGCAATTTGATATTATTAATTTATTCATAAACTTTTGATTTCTAGTTTATTTTTATAAGTATTAATCTAACAATATTTTATAATTTTATTTTTAATATCTCTGATTGAATAGTAAATCAAAATGCATAAAAATATTTTATCATAAACAACAGATCCTCAATAAACTAAACTTTTGAACTTAATTATTTGATATTAATTAATATCAAAAATTACTTTTTTAGAATCATAAATGGAAGCTTTTCAGAAATGAAAAAAATTGGCATATAGCTAATATTATCCAATTTACGAAAAAAATTTTACAGGTGTATCACACTTTCTCTAACAATTGATATATATGCATTTGATTAAAAGCTATCCAAATACTTATAACAATCAATGTTATATGATTAATTATAAGTTAAATCAAATATAATTAAAATTGACATTTTCAAATATATCCACCAATTATTTGAATTAAAACTAAGTATATTATTAATTTTCTATTCACTTGAGTAAATTACTTTAAAAATAAATATATCATATTCAAATAAACCAATTTCTAATAGAATGTTACAAATTAAAATTTATTAATATAAATGATACTAAAATTATTTTATAAATTTGAAAAAAGCTGCATTTTATATTTATTATAAGCTATTCCAAAGAATTTCAGAAATATTTTAGAAGATATTTATTTACAGACTAAGTATTGCAAATTTATTTCAATAAAACTAAGTTACATTTATTTCTTCAATTTTTATATTTATTCTGAATCACTATTAACTATAATCTAATTTGATAAGTGTTATAATATTTATAATCATCAAACTAAAAAAAAGATTTAATTAAATTAATTGATATATTTGGAGAATACGTAGTTGAATTAGTAAAAATTAATTTAAATCAAATGTTACAACATCCTAAGAAAAGCACAACTACATAAGAATTTCTAATTAAAATTTCTTAGAATGATTCAAACATTTCAATTGCAACTTAATTAGTTAATAATACAATCCAATTCTCCAAATATTTAAGTCCAAAAGATATGTGAAAGTGTGTTTGTTAAGTAATTTACTTTTGTTAATATTTGTTTAATTTTCCAAGATCAGTTGATTAT